GATGGATGGATGGGTGGATGGATGGATGGAATGGGTGGAGGGATGAATGGATGGGTGGATGGGTGGGTGGGTGGATGGATGGATGGATAGATGGATGGATGGATGAGTAGATGGATGGATGGATGGAATGGGTGGATGGATGCATGGATGGATAGATGGATGGATGGATGGGTGGGTGAGTAGATGGGTGGATGAGTGGATGGATAGATGGGTGGATGGATGGATGGATGAGTAGATGGATGGATGGATGAGTGAACGGATGGATGGATGGTTAGGTGGTGGAATGGGTGAAAGGATAGGATGGCTGGCTGACTGGGTGGATGGGTGGATGGGTGGGTGGGAAGATGGTTGAATGGAGCTGGAGAAATTGTCTCTGGATGGTAAATGGGGGTAGAACGGCCTGTGAGTCAGCGCCTCAGTACTGAGTGCACAGGTCTGCGTGCTCAGGAATCGGGACTCTGGGGATACTCACCATATTTTGCTGCTTTAGCTGCTGCAGCTGCAGCTGCAGCCTGAGATCCAACGCCTGGAAGAAAGGAGAGTGGGAAACCCTGAACACCAGGCAGCAACCCCAGAGCCACCAACTTCCAGCCCCCAGAGAACCTATCCATGTGGATCTGGGTGGGGGCCCAGCAGAGGCTCACAGAATGGCCTCCTCCCTAGGCCAGGTGAACTGGCCTGCTTTCTAGGGAGACCTGGCCACACCAGGGCCCGGAGCTGGGGCAGAAGTGGGGAGAGGCTTTCCTACCTGTCCCTGTTGGGTAGCCAGCCTTGCCACCTGCACCAGCTACTCCTCCAGGTCCGTAGCCTATGAAACAGACAGGTTCATGGTCATCCAAGCAGATCTCACCGCTGCTGTCCCCCCACCGAGCCCTTCGTGGGCCAGGCTGTTCCAACTAGTCTCTTCCTGGTCCCCTCCAGACAAAGTGCAAACAAATACAGGTACAAACAAGTGCTTGGCCTTTTACAGCCCAACGTTCGTTATTCCCATTGTACAGATGAGGACACTGAGGCTCAGGGCAGAAAAAGGGTTCCTCCAAGGCCTTGAAAAGGTGGAGGACCAGGATTGAGGGCCAGGCTGAATCTAAATTCCATTTCTTCCCTTAGGGCTTCTCCCTTGCCCTTCCCCCACCTTGCTGGTCTCTTAGCCCGGGGACAGGGGCTTCACCAACACCCCAAAAGTCTGCAATGTGTCAGAGTGAACGGCTTACCGTAGGGCAGTTTTCCAGTGCTGTAGGGCAGTCCGTAGCCACCTGGGAAGGGGACAGGGCTCAGCTGATGTCCACTTACCTATGTGGACACACCCATCTCCAGAGGCCTGGGGCCAGAGGTGCCCCTTCCTAACCAAGCAGCGGTACAGCTTCCTGGAGACCCAGCTGGGCTCTCAGGAGAGCTAGGAGCCTGGGCAGAGGACGGAGTGGACATCCATCCATGCCCCAGGGCCTGACGGGACCCTGATCCCAACCCTGCTCCTGGAATCTGAGAGGCTTCCTAACTCCCTACCCCCACAGCAAACATCTCACTGTCTGAGCTGATTGTGGGGGGAGGGGAGTGCTTCTCACCATCAATCAAGTGTTTCCCATCAGGATTGTGGCTGTGCATGCGTGTGGCCTTGCGCGCGCGCGCGTGTGTGTGTGTGTGTGTGTGTGTGTGAGCGCGCGCACTGGTGAATCTAACACCTGTAGACCCCACTCTTTCTTCTTTTCCTTTGCTGGTGACAGAGGCGGCCTGCACACCCAGGTCCTGGCCACCCCACCAGAGACACATGTGGTCCAAGGGCTGGACTTTCAACAGGGAAGCCTGATGGGCAGAAGTGGGGAGAGTGCGGAGATGCTACTTGCCGCGTGCATCCTTTTCCAGCTCACCTGGCAGCTTAGGTGCCTTGATGGGGTACCCCAGGGGGACCCCAGGCTGCTGGCCACCAAAAGGTCCAACCCCTGTGGAACAGAAAACAGCATCAGAGCCTGGCTCTCCGGGCCTCACCTTCACCTTCATGCTGCTGTACCTCCTTCTGCCCCAATGTGCCTGAAAGGCCTGGTGTGCCTGCCTTTCCACCACCAGTCAGTGGCCGGAGTTTCCTGCTGGAGGCTGGCTAGCTGCTCTGTTAGCCCGCTTACCAGGAAGACCCAGTTCTGCTCACCTGGGATCCCAGCGAAAGCTCCACCTCCACCTGCAATATCAAGGCATGGTCAGTGCAGCCAGGTTGTGCTGCTGGGCACACAGATCACACTGGCTGGTGCCAGGTGACCTGAGATGTGGACAGCTCTGTCCACGTCACACTGCACTCACTCGCACTCCGAGATTTCCAGCTGCATCCACCCAGAGCCCACCTCCTCCCCTTTCATCTCTCACTCCAGACCTCAGGGTGAATGGGGGCCCTCACCCTGACCTCAGCCCATGTAGCCCTCATACCTGGGGTCTTGGGCTTCACTCCTGTTCCAGTGGGAACTCCAGGCAGCACCCCTACACCTGGGAAACGGCCTCCTGAAGGGGCAGAGGGGGAGTGTGTTGAGGCCCAGCTTGGCAGTCTACTTCCTGGCGCATGCAGCTGCCCAGGCCCACTCAGTTATAGGAGAGAAGACCCCTTAGAGAGTGAATGTCCTTCCTCATCTGGACCAGTTTGCAGATCTGAGCTTAATCCCACTTCCTAGGTTACATGTGTGTCTCAGCCTGCCTCAGAGTGAGGCTGGATTGGGTGATAAACTGTCCTGGGCACAGGGGGGATTGTCTCAAATGCCAGGCAAGCATGGGCTTCCTCTGCTGACTTAGCATGCTGTAGTGAAGATTTCACGTGTTTCTTGGCACCCTGTGAGGTGGCGAAGCCCACGTGAAATTGCCCCCTACAGTTGAGTAAATACACAGAGGTGAGCGCATGCTTCCTGGGTATCCTTGTCGAGGATGAAAAGAGGTTCTGATTCTGCAGGGAAGGGGCTGTGGGCTGGGAGCGAGATGCCGGTCACACCTTGGAGCAAAAGCCTTCCTTCCTCGTCTGGCCCGGGTGAAAAACCACATGACATGTTTCCTATAGACTAACAGGTGAGCACAGGCAACTCCGTGCTTACCTGGATGATTTAATCTGATGCTGCCTGAGCACCCTCCCCCAGAGGGCCGAGCAGGAAGGCACTGCATGGACTGGCTGTCCCCTGCAGGCCGGGGTTGCCTGTGTGTTTATTTTCGGTGCTGTTTCCAGGCACACAGGCACATGCATGCACACGCAGTCGTACACACACGCACACATGCTGCCCAGAGCTCTCCTAGCTCCTCTGGGGACAGGGCTGTGCACTCTGTCATTAAGGGCCTGGGCTTTTTTGGGGAATTCAGGAGGTCACAGTTTGGGCAGTGGCCAGGTCCTGGTAGGATAGGAAGGTGGGGGGGGGGCAGCCTGGGGGCTCCTGCAGGGCTGACATTCTGGGCAGGGCCCCTGGTGACTCACAGGTTTTGGGAAAGCGCTGACCACATGGGATGAGGGTGGGGCCTGCCTCAGGATGTGACAGTGGGCTGCTTGCTCTTTGGGGGGTCAAGGTCAGCCGCTGTGTATCCATTAGCCCGTGCTTCGGCACTTAGAGGAACATTGCTGGCCAGGACCCCAGGGCCCTGCTGGCCTCTGCTGGACGGGGCTGTGGTTGTGAAGTGATTGTGTGTTGTGTTGCTAACCAGACAGTCAGCTGGTTAAACACACCAGCTGCTCTGTAAGACCAAGATGGGCAGCCTCATCCACAAAGATCCACAGCCCAGAAGCCCCTTGGAGGGTTGCTATGCGTTCGAATGGCAGAGGGCTTGGGGGCACCATGGGGACCCTTCTCTTTGGTCTCACCTGCGCCTGGGAGCACTCCACCTGGGTACACACCTGGGAGCCCCACACCTGTGGCCGGAAGAAGGAAGAATGTAAGTAAGCAGCAGCCAAGCTTCCAGGACATCAGCCCAGCCCAGCCCTCCTGGCGAGAGGGCCCTGGAAGCCATGGCCTCTGGGCCGAAGGGGCAGCTGGACGGATGTGGGGCGGCCCAGGCCTCTTCCCAAGTCTCCTAAGTCATCTGCAAATCCTTCTGTTCATGGATTTATCTCCGACTCCTGGAGCCTGTTTACAGGACCAGCCCAGCCCACTCCTGGGCTCTAACAGTTTCCAGATGGTCCCTCCCTGCTGTGTGGACCAGGCAGGCTTTTGTTTAACCTGAAGTCACTTCCGAAGGGCTTGGTGTGGTGGAAGGCGCACCAGCTGAGAAGGAGGGAGAGGCTGGGCTCCCCTGGGGCTATGGACTTCTCATCATCAACACCCCACCCTGAGCCTCAATTGCCCCATCTGTCCCTGCAATGTCATCTCAGACACAGAGCTTCTCTCGGAAGTCTTTCTGCTCCAGTGTCCTAGGAGGAGGGCCTGGCTCTTGTCTGCGCCCCAGGGGAGGCTGAGCCTCGGACCCGCCCCCCCATGCCGTCCAGCCCCAGGGACCTCTCACTGACCGGGCACTTTGCCAGGCTTCCCCAAGGCTCCGACTCCTACTCCAGTCTGAGGCACCACTGCACCTGTCACAGATGGAACCCGCGTCAGGCTGAGCACTGCCTGGGTCTGCTGCCTTCACCTGGCGGACTTGGGGTGAGTCACCGTACCTGTGGACACGCCGACACCGCCCACGCCGCCGACACCGCCCACGCCGCCGACGCCGCCCACACCGCCGACACCACCTACTCCACCAAGTCCTGCACCTAGTGCCAGAAGTGGGGGTAGGGAGTGAGAAATTTGGGGTGGGGGCAGAGGGGATAGCTGAGAGGTACAGCCCTGTCCCCACCAAAACCCATGGTGACCCCATCGTGTCTGAGCCTGTACTCTCTATGTGGGGTGCTCAATGGTTGATTGTCTTGGTAGGAAGATAGCCAGTCCTTTCTTCCGAGGTACCTCTCTTGAACTGCTAACCTTTTGGTTTAGCCAAAGGGTATGTTATACACCCATGGACCCACCCGCCTGCCTCTCAGCGCTGGGCTTGAGGAAAGGGTCTTTGCAAGGTGGGGAGACCGTGGAAACTTGGAGGGGACATGTCCCAAGGAGTGCCACTTACCAGCCTTGGCAGCAGCTTTATAGGCTGCGGCAGCCCCAGCTGCTCCGCCGGGCACCAGTGCCCCCGGGTAGGTGCCGGCAGGAAAGGCACCTATCCCTGTGGAGGGTAGGGGGCCTGGCTGAAGTTCTGACCACCCTGCCTGGCCCTGCCCACCCCAGGAAGTCCCAGGCTCTGCAAGACTTGAGGGCTGAGCTGTGACTGCTGTGCCCAGGACCACACTGGAGACAGTATGTCCTGCTCAGCTAGACCATGTGCCTTGGTCTCAGGGGGTCAGACTTCTGCCCTAATTTCCTCCCCAAAGCCTAATGGGAACCTCTGAGGGAGGTGCTCCTCTGAGTAACCCCCGCTGTCTCTCCCTCCTCCTCGCCCTCATCACTGTGCTCACAGCTGGTCTGGGCGCCACCTGGACTCCCTCCTGACGCAGGCAGGTGCCCTGGGAAAGGAGGGCCCAGGACGGGGCCTGGCTGCACTCCTGCCAGCTCTGCTGAGCAGAGGCCCTGGACATGTCCTAGGTCTTAAGGGATACATCTCTGCTCCTGAGAAGGGACTAACCTGTCCCAACGCCACCTCCAGGAAGCCCTCCAACACCTGGAGAAGAAGGAGAGATGAATGAATGAAGAGAACCTGGTGGGTGAGTCTGGGCAAAGTGTCCCACTTGGGGTGGGCCAAGGGCCTGGCAGTGCTGGGGCCAAACTCAAGCTTTTGTGATGTGGGGGGCAGGATTGAGAACAGTGCCCTTTGACCCCACAGACAGGATTGCAGTGCCCTCCATCCCAGCCTGGAGCCAGTCCTTGTTCCTAGAAGGCCAGCCAGAGGCCCAGCTAAGGGAGACCCAGAGGGCTGACTTCAGGGCCCGTTGGAGCCAAGCCCTGCCAGGCCCTGGCTGGACCAGCCTGCACTGAAAAGCGCTCACAGATCTGTCTTTCTGGCAAGTGTCCCCAAATTTGATGACTTTCCCCTCCCCTGTGCATGCAGGTCCTCTGTCCCCCACTTTGCCTCCTCAGCCCAGGCTGTCTGTCCGTCCGTCCATCTACTCATCCATGTATCCATCCAGCTCTCCCTGCACTCCAGGAGCCTGTCTCCTCGCAGACAGATGCTCAAATGTTTATGAGACGCCAAATGGGTCCCTCTGGCTCGTTCCTCGCCACATCTGGGCCCAATCGTGCTTCCTCCCCCCCCAGGAGACATTCCTTGGCCTTGGCCGTGGCCATGGGCAATCAGGTTGGAGTTCACAACTGCACCGGCTTTGTTTCCAATTATGTGAAGCTCTTTCCTGCAAGCCGGCCCTGGGCTGCCAACACCCTGAGCCCTGCAGGCAAACCCTCGCTGGGGACAGGTCCCAAACATGGGAGACTGCTAAGCCTGGCTTCCTCCGCCTCACCCACTAGCCTCCCGCTTCCTACTGTGTGACCTGGGCCCATCTGAGCCGCTGTGAGCCGCTCTGTGGGAGGGGGTCTCCCTCCAGGCCGGTGATGGTGGCCAGGCAGGACCTGGGGCATCCTGGCCACCTCTCAGCACTTCCTGCCTGCTCCTCCTCCTCTCCAGTGTTGGCAGCGACCGCCACAGCCCAGCCTGTTTCTTGAGCACCCAGAGGGCAAGGGACATACTCGGTCATTTCCTGTTCCCACACGGGCTGGGAAGAAATGAGGGGACTGGACAGGCAGTGAGGGGAGGCTGGGCAGAGGCGGGGGAGGAGGCCAGACCAGGGCTCTGCCAGGCCCAGCCACGTGGGCCTTCCACAGTGTGAGGCCTCACTCGCTCACCCTCACTAAGTGCACTCACCTGTTCCAAGTGGTCCCAGGAGTCCAGCACCTGCAGGGGGAGGGGAAGGATGAGGAGTGACCACAGCTGGGAGCTGGGGGCCTGGCCACTGGCCCACCCTCTGCCCAGGGCGAGTCCTGCCGCCCTGTAGTGCGCTCCCTGTCTAAAGATCTGGCTGCTTCACCTCCCTGGGGCTCAGTTTCCATATCTATAAAATGGTCCATGTCCCCAGTTCCCTGACCCAGCGGCTTGTGGGTGGAAGGAGCCTGGTGGCGTGGGCTGCAGCACCTAATAGAAGCTCTCTCTCCTTCCTGCCCATCTTGGGTGGGCAGCTGGTTGCCAGCTGGCTTACAGGGTGCTGTGTGCAGGCTTCAGGGAGCCCGGTGCCCTCCACGAGCCAGCTCAGGCTGACCTCCTGCTGGTGGGGGGCCCCCCTGGAGCAGCTGCCAGGCCACCCACCCTCTACCCGCTGAGGGATTAATTGTTCCCAAGTATGACACACTGCCTGTGCCCTGTTCCCTGCTGCCTGGTCACTTCCGGAAGTCCCCACAGCCTAGAACAGGGGAGTGTCCACAGGCCCTGCCAAGATGTTTGCAGCCCTGAATCCTGGAAGCTGACTGATTGAAGCGAAGTCACGGGGTGCAGCCTGGAGGATGCCAGAAGGCGCGGTGCTCTGACTTTGATTTTGGGCTACTTCTGCACCCTGAAGGGGAGCTCTGGTGGCCTAGTGGGCAAGGAGTTGCTCTGTCAACCCAAAGGAAGGTGGTTTGAAACTACTAATTGCTCCAAGGGTTGAAAGATGGGCAATCTCCTCCCTTGTGTTTTACAGCCTCTGAAAACCCTCAGGGTCAGCTATGAGTCAGTTCTGACTTGATAGCACATAACAACAGTACCCTGGACTGGAAGTTCTTCTAAAAGTCTAACCTAGATCCTTCATTAAGTGAAGTCCCACTTTGGCTTCTCGCCATCATGGGTTCTGGAAGGGGCATCTTAATCTCCCCATCAGGGTTTAAGCTCCACCCACATGTCTCTCCCGTTTCCCAGGGCAATGATGGTTTCCCTGTAACTGAGTGAGTACTGGGTCTTCTGGGCCTTTCCCCATCTGTCTCTCTTCCTCCCCTGAAGGCCTCGGTAAGATCCCTGACCCAACAAGAGGGCAGGACAGACGTTCCTGCACCAGGATGCCAGGAAACCCCTCGCCCCTTCCTCTTCCTCCTTGCCTGGCCCCAGCCCCGATGTTTCACAACCAGGCCGCCTCTCAGTGAAATGACGCTGGGTCTAGTGGATTCATTTGTACTTGGATCATCGAACATCAGGATTTCGTAAGAGCTGTTGGACATCCAAACCATGTCCTCGAGCCGTGGGCCTCAGGGCCAGGCTGACATGGCACCGGGTAGGGGCGCCAAGGCCGCGTGTGTGGAGTGCCTCCTGTGAGGGGCTGTGCATGGGGCGAAGATACTGACGTCTCCACTTGTTCCTCATTCAGGGGTCTTTTGGGGGGCCCTGTCTGCAGTCCTTTCTGGGGTGGACCTTAGTGGCAGATCTGGGCCTCCTGGGTGAAGCCAGGACAGAGTCAGCCACACCTTCTTACTGGAAAACGCCATGGCCCAGCCGTAGCTGGGAGGGTCCCCAGATCAAGAAGTGAGCTCACTGAAGCCGGGGTCAGCACTCGGCCTGGGTTTGGGGTCCAGGTCAGTCAGGGATCAGGATAGGCAGCACCAGGTCAGGGCTGTCTGGGGGCTTGATTCAGGGTTAGACAGTGGTCTGCGATCTGTGTCTAAATCTTAGATGCGGTTGACAGGCGTGGTGTTCTAGGGACAGCAGCCACCACCTTTGCCTCCCTCAGCAGGACCATTTCGAGGCCCTGAGTAGGTGGACAGAGTCTCTGGGCAGTGGGCATGTGAGGACAGGTAGGTGCCAGGGACCCCTCACAAAGGGAGACCATCATGCCTCCTTCTTCTGGGCTTTCCCTGTGGGACCCTATAAACTCCCACCCTGCCAGGCACACAACTCTGCAGGCCCTCCCAGACTTCTGAGGATAGGGGTCTTACCTGGCTTGGGAGGTTTGCCGAGGGCTGCAGAGGAAAGAGACGACAGTGAACGAGAGCCATCCATCCACCTGTCCTACCCTGTGTCCCCAGAGAGCTGTCTGGGAACTGTCCCCTAGGAATGTTTGAGAAGGGTCTGCTTGTTCAGCAGAGCACCCTGGGAGCCCAGCATCCAGAGGCCTGGTGGGGAAGCTTAGTGTAGCGCCCAAGCTCTGAACCTGACTTTCAGCCTCTAAAGGGGATGATGAGGCCTGCCTGGCTGGCTTCACAGCCACGCTTCTAAGGATCAAGAAAGACGCAGTTCCAGGGCAGGGGCTCCAGGGGCTCATGGGCCTGGTTCTAGGGAGTCTCCTCCCAATGGACACTAAGTCTGGGTAGTGAGGGTCCTGGTAGCTGGGGCCTCTGGAGTTATTGAAGGTTAGCGGGCAGGGTGAGGGCAGGCAAGACAGGAGACTCCTTAGTGAGGAACCACACAAGACTTTTGAGTTTACCTCCTCCTCCAGGGCCTCCAAAACCAGTCCCTGTGTGGAAGGAGAGAGAGAGAGAGAAGCATGAGCATCCTCTGGCCACAGTGCAGCCTCTGCCAAGCTCTTCATCTGATTGCTTCGGTTTCCTCATCTGTCACTTCAGGTCAGCAGCCTCGCCCAGCTCATGCCTGTACGTGACATCTGAACATCCAAGTACTTTTGCAAGGGTTGACAATGTTACTTGTATGCACACCCATGTTTATCGTGGTTTTGTTCACAACAGCAAGGTGTTGGAAACAACCTAAGTGCCCATCAACAAACGAATGGCTAAGCAAGCTGTGATATATTCACACAATGGAATACTATGCTGCTTTGAAAAACAAAGAACTCATGAAATATTGTACGAAATGGGTGACCTTGGAGGACATTATGCTTAGTGAAATATCTCAGTCACAAAAGGACAAATACTGCATAATGCCACTGTTGTAAAATGGGACAGACATCGGGGTTGGGACGAGACTGAGAAAGATGGGATAAATTATGTATACTGCATTGAAACAGATGCTGGAGAGAACTATTTAAAATGGATATTTGATTAGGTATTATTGTCATGACAGGAGTCCAGAACGAAGGCTGTATAGTGGAGTGGACTTGAAGGGAGGGATTGTATAACAATGAAAGAATTTTTCTTTTACATTTCAAAGAGAAGAGGAGTGGGCAGGGAGAAAAGTATAACAATGAATGAATGGAAATTAAAAAAAAAAGAAAGAAAATATTACTTGTGATGCTTAAAGTCAACTTTCAAACACAACACAATTTTCCAAATGATAAGGGAGGGGGGGGAAATGCCCCAGCGCTGTGCATTTTCGCCCAGGGTGGAGGCTCCTACTCTCTATCGGCACAGAACTGCTTTACCAGTAACTGTGGAGTTGACTTTTGCCCTTGGTGACCCATGTGTTCTCTGTTGGGTGTTCAAGGGCCAACTGTTGAGAAATAGATTGCCAGGCCTTTCTTCCAAGGCCCTTCTGGACCGCTAATCTTACCAGTCAACTGTCAATCATTTGTACCTCCCAGGGATTCTCATTTGCACAACCATTGTTTTTATGTCCCTTTTGCTTGCAAACACTGTGTTTTATTGCAGGACAGAGGGTCAGGCTTTTTAAAGGCCGGGTAACATTTTCAGTCTGCTTAGTCACATCCTGCAGTTAGGTGGGTATCATGTTTTACATGTTTGCAAACAGCGCTCTTAGGAGCGTTTTCGGGAGTGCTCGCTCTTTTATTTTTTCCCCCCTCTTCTGGATTATTTCCTTTGAACGGATGCCCAAGAATGAGGTTAGGGGCACTGTGAACTCTGATATGACAACAACGTGTGACCACACCCACCTCCCCAGAACATCACAAACATTGTGCTTCAGCTTACAGAAGTCTGGGTGGCGGGACAGCCACGTACACAGCATTTTTAGGTGTGAGAGGAGGTCTTCTGAGGTGGACAAGCTTCTGTTCCACCTGCAGGATTATACTGTGCACCTCTTACGAACTCACCTGCTGCCAGGTGTGTGGAAGCAGCGGAACCTTACCTGGGTAGTAGATGCCTCCAGGAACTGCGCCAGGAACAGCCCCTGGGACCCCTGGAAGGAAGAAGACAGAGTCCACTGACACCCAAGCCAGCTGCCAGCTTGTGGACTGGCAGGTGCAGCGACATAGAAATGTGCTCCGTAGAGTTTTCAAGGGCTAACCTTCCCCCTCCCCCACCCCCGAGGTGCTTCTGGGTGGCACAAACCTCTTTCTGTTAGCAGCTGAGCATGTTAACTGTTTGCATCACCCCAGGACTGTGTCCTCTGTTAGCCATGATTATTGAAGCATAGAAAGGTTAGTGACCAAACTGATAATACTGCTTCTATGAAGCGATTTATGCGGAAGCCAGGAATTTCTGGCTTCGTTTTCAGAACGTGAAATCAGAGGCTCAGAGAGGTTAAGGGACTTTCCTGGGGTCACACAGCTGGAAAAAGATGGAGTCTGGCTTCCTGCTCCTCCGAGCACGCTGCATTACGCGGTGGCTACGGAGAGGGCCTGCCAAGGGGGCTAGTCTGAGCACCCTTCGGGGGCAGCTGGCAGCAGGGACAGGGCTGGTGAGCAGTGTGGAAGTGTGGCCTTGCTGCAAAAGCAGCCATTCCCACACTGCTGGGCCGGCGTGAGGTCAGCAGCCCAGACACTGGCAACAGCCGTTGGGTGGGGTTCTGGCCGTGGGGCTCAGAGCTGTCTTAGGAGGCGCCAGGGCCCAGAGGGGGATATCGTGAATGAACAAAGTGGATAGTTTCCTAAAGAAAAGCTATTTTGCTGCCGCTGCCAAGAACACAAGTTAAGTCTCCTCCGACAGTTGAGTTTCCAGTGGGGAGAGGGGTCATGAGTGGCCCCAGACGAGGCCTATGCTGTCATGGCAACAGACCAGGTCCTGCCTCCACCTCGGAAAGGTCCCCCCTGGCCTTTACAAGCTCTTGTTAATGACCCGGAGGGAGCCCAGGGCCACCCGCTGGAAAGGGCTGGGGAGTCCTGAGGGCGTGGGCAGCGCCGGGAAAGGACAGTGCTGGGCAGGGTGTCCAGGGCGGCTCCCAGCCAGACGTCTGGCCCTGCAGCCTGGCGACACTGCGCAGCTGGCCCTGCTGGCCCCAAGGCCTGTGGCAGCCTCAGCTGTGGCCCAGCAGGGTGTGTGTGTGGGGGGTGCCCAGCTGTCATGGCAACCCAGTGCCAAATCCCCGTGGCCCCCTGGGGACTGCAACCCCAGGCTTGGCGTGTGCAAGCAATCTGTTCCAGGCCTGGGGGGCTCGGAGCAGTGGCCCGGGGGCTGGGCGGCGGGGAAGGCATGCTTTGTCATCGGCTGCCAAGCACACACATGGTGGCGCGGGCCTTTGATGCTGTGCTGGCTCTGGCGCCGCCTCCCACTCGGAAGGCCGTCTCTCCGTGGCTTTCTCTGCTGCATTCCGGGCCTTTCTCTGCCTCACATTCTCCTTCCCCTTCTCTGCTCCCGGGCAGACAGGGCGAAGGATGGAACACTCAGGAGGCTTTGTGGCTGCTTATCCTGTGTGATCTTGGGGAAGTCACTTAACCTCTCTGAGCCTGGTTCCTTGTGTGCAATGGAGGCCTGACTGCCAGCATCTTACCAGGCAGCTGTGACTCATCAAAGAGATAAAACAAGAAACCGTGCAGGCCCTGGGCCTGACACACAGGAGCGGTCAAGCAATGATGCCGCTCCTTGGTCCCCACTTCCTCTCATTCCTCCTCATCGTTTGTAACCTGGGACCAGGTGAGCTGTAGGTGCTTCACGAAGGGTAGATGGAGCGGATGGAGGAGAGGCAGGGCGCTGTGGGAGGATGTGTCCAAGTCTGACCTCTTCCATCCCCAGCCACCTTGGCACCTGGCTGTCCAGCACAGCTGACCCCTCATGTTCTCTTTCCTGTGGGGTGAGGGTGTGTGTCTTCTGAATTGCCCTTCTTCCCAGGCCCTCAGCTCCTTCTCTGCTTCCCCTTCGCGAAGCTCCGACCACTTCTCCCAGCTCCATCTTCACAACTCAGCAGCAGTGTTTGCCAAGTCCCCCTTCCCCCACCCTGTACAGCTTGGGGACCATCCTTGGGCACTGAGGACATGCAGAAGGCTTGGGGGTGCGAAGGATCCCTACCTTGCCTGTCTCTCTTATGGCCATAATTAATAAGAGGTTGCCAGCCTCCTGCGCACCCCCACCTGCAACCTCACACCCCCTATCCAGACCCCCCACTTCCACCAGGACTGCACTGGCTTGCAGGCTCCTGCCTCTCCGGGCCAAGCTCTCGCTGCCTGCTCTGCACAGTTGGCCCCGGGCAGCTGGCCTGGAGCTCGCTTGTCTTGTTCTTGTTTTATGTGGGTTTGGCTTCTTCGCCAACCAGGGTGGAACTTGCCTCTGGCATCTGAGAATCCTGATCTTTGATCTTAGGGATCATGACAGTTTTCTGGAACCTCTTCTGCCAGTATCTCGGCATGCTCTTGCTTACATGCCTCCAGCGACAGGGAACTCATTACCTTCCAGTGCTACGGGCTTTGCGTACAGCGAAGCCTTCCTCCTACTCAGATGATATTTGATCTTTGGTCTATTCGACCTCTCAGAGTTTCACTAGCATCTTTCCTTTCCCTCAGAGTCTAACTCAAATGCCTTCTCCATGAAGCCTTCCTGGATTTCCTGGGACTCGTCCAGGCTACCTTTCCCTGCAGCCCTGTCTGCATATCAGCTGCACTCACTAGAGACTTTGAGGTGTGACGAGCAAGAGAGGTATTCAAATTCACAATGTGAACAGATGACAAGGGTCCAGGAACTTAAGTTAGTAAATTCTGCATAAATCATGCTATTGTTTGAGGACGTCACCTGTCTTTGACACACTTCTGCAGCCGTGACACCATCAGAGTCTCCCAATTGCCCTCAGAGCTAAGCTGGGCAGGGATGTTTCTCTCCACTTTACAGCCAGGGAAAGCGATACCGGAGAGATGAAGTGTCTGGCCTGGGATTCACAGCTGACCCCAGTCACACGCGGGGCGTGCTGCCCAGGCCCTGGGCTCCAGGTTCAAAGATCTGGGCACAGGCTGTGAGGGAGAGAGCCATGGGCCGGCAGGCCTTGGCAGGGAGCTGTGCCAAGCCAAAGTCCAGGGGACCGGCTTTGGAGAGCAGATAAGAGCGCATGAAGCTGTTTGTTGTTTGCATGCAGAAATGCTGCCAACGGTTTTTCAAAAACAATCTGTCCTTTCGATGGGTGACTTGGTCCCCCGCTACCCCCCTCGCCGTGTTTGCCCTCCTGTGGCGGTCCTGGTGGACAGGATTGTCCTCGAAACCAGACACCCTCAGCCCTGTGCCTCAGCCCTCCCCAGACCAAGTAAACGGGTTCTTGGGTGGGTCCCCAACATGGATTTGTCTAAAACTCCCCAGGAAATTCTATTCTGCCCCTTGCTCCAAATGATCTCAAGTCTGAGATCAAGGAGAAATGAAGAAAAAGGAGGAGGAGGAGGAGGAGGAGAGGAAGAAGAATAAGAAACTAAAAATATTATAGGTTTGGGAAAGAATACGATCTGATTTCATTTCTCCCTCCCCTCTACTTTTTTAATAGCACGACGATTGGGACAGTTCATTCTCAGAGATTCTTTTGACACATTGTACATCTACGTCTTACATGAAGAGTATAAGTGTCAGGCTATTAACGGAAAGATTGGTAGTTCAAATCCACCAGCCACTGCAAGAGAGATAATGGGCAGTCTCCCCTCCTATTTACAGCCTCAGAAACCTGACAGAGGGTTACCATGATTTGGAGTCAATTGCATGAAACGGGCTTGGCTTTCTTGTTAACTCTGCCTCATCAAGCCTCCAAGAGGCAGCAGGGTCCCTCGGAAGTGGTGAACTTGTGTAAGATATATCCTTTAGCGTGTTTGTGTTTGATGGAGGCCTCTTCTGTTCCAGATTTTGGGGTACTGCACAAACTCTAAAGCTAATCTTGTCACCTGACAGGGCTGAGCCTTTGACGCTGTCACTGAGGACTCAGAGGGATGTTGGCTTGGATGTGGTTTTTCCACAGATAGGTCTGTGATCCTGGCCCAGGCAGAGATCGGCTGAGACCAATCAATTCCCTTAATCAGCCTGAGCCTCAGTTTCCCCATTTGGAAGGTAAAGAAGAGAATGCCAACTCTTGGGGTGTCTGTGGGAATCAAGTGGCATGCATTCAGTGGAGAGGAGTGGACAGGTGTCTGTCTGGGCCACAGCTGAGAAAGTGGTCCAGATGAGCCCAGAGGGGCTGCTGTCAGGAACGGAGCAGCCAGTCCTCTGGGACTACCTCACTGCCCTTGCCAGACTCCGCCTGTTGGTGCCCACGTCCCCGAACTTCATTTAAGTCTGGGAGCTGACCTTCACACAGGAAACCCCTGCTCCTAGCTGGTCAATCTCCCGGAAACAGCTGCTGTTCTGACCCAGTCCCTGACTCCAGTCCCAGTCCTTGTGTCCCCCCCAACCTTAAAGTCCGATTCTCATGGTGAAGAGGACGCCGGGAAAACAGATCCCTCAGGCTGGCCCCCCAGTGAAGCAGCCTGCACCTTTCTTTCCCCATGGCCAAGATGCACCTCAGTGCCCTCCAGGACACTGGGCCAGTGTCCCCTGAGCTGTGTAGCAGCTTCCACATGGCACCCTCCAGCCTGACAACCCAGGTCAGGACACACGGCCAGTGTCTGCTGGCACTGTCCCAAGGACCCTCCAAGTCTCTGCTCCGGCCTCACACCTTCCCCAGCCTCACCTTCCCTGCTGTCATTCCATTGCTCACCGCACGCACACACACACACACACACACACACACGGTTACATGCACAGTGACAGCTCACTCTGATGACCCACCAGGGTTCCCGAGTGGTAACCTAACTTTCCACACCTTGTTGGGTGGCAGACATTTGCACACGCTGACAGGTAACCTTTATGGGCTCCACAAAGCCACAGACACATGCCTGCAGACACCCTTTCCTGCTAAGGGACACGCCCGGACACACACATGGTGGCTGAATGCACACCTGTGAACCGTGCTCCCCACTCTGCCAGAAGTCCCAGCCCCGCGACCCACCGCAGCAGGACCTTCCAGAGTGAAATGCCGTGATCAGCTCAACTCCAGCCTTCCTCTCAGGGGGACAAGGAACCTGCTTGGGTCACATGACTCACTGTGGCTGAGCTGGCCGGCCCCAGGTCCCCTGTCCCCATGCACACTCAGCTGGCTCTACAGGTATGTGAACTGCCCACGTCTGCAGACCTGACAGGACCCTCCAGGCCCGTCTCCAGCATTCTGTAGCCCACGCCATGGGCAGCATGGGCAGAGGGGTCCCTGTGACCTCAGGGCAGCTGGACCTGATATGGGCAAGCCCATCTCTACAATTCTGCACCCTACACTATGGGCAGCATCAAGGCAGAGGGGTCCCTGTGCCCTCAGGGCAGCCGGCCTCAACACGGGCATCTCTGTCCTGTGTGACAGGTTCTCCACAGCACTGCTGACCCCCAGGATGGTCAGTTCCCAGGGTCCAGTGGCTGAGGGTCTCCTGCCTGAGACCTTGAAGAACCCCAGGAATGAAGGGTGCCGGGCTCCTTCGGACAGCAGGGCCACCTGGCTGGGAGGGCAGGGGGCAGCGGGCAGTGCCCAATTGGGGTGCAGGTCCTTACCTCCTGGCTGTGCAGGGTGCAGGGTGGACAGCAGGAGCAAGAGGACTCCGGGCCGCACGGCTGCAGCTGTCAGACCCGCCATCTCGGGGAGAAATGCCCCAGCCTGCTCTCCGCGCCCCGTTTTATCCCCAAAGCGTAATTGCTGCCTCGTCTGAGGGAAGG